TTTATAATGTTTTTTATAATGTTTTTTATAATGTTTTTTATAATGTTTTTTATAATGTTTTTTATAATGTTTTTTATTAAATGCACATATTATCTATATACTGCTCATTATCGATCAGTTACGTAAATATACGTATACAGCAGATTTTACTATACGTTGTGGGCAGTGTCAAAAAGGCTTGAAAGGTGAACAAGAAGCTATGCAGCATGCGAAGGAAACAGGTAAAACAATTATATAATATAATTCAATCTGTTTTTGGTAATTAAATGACGTATTGAAACGTATTGAAATATAATTTGATGATAGGTCACACTAAATTTACCGAGTATGATGAATAAATTTAATGCAAGTTGATACTTTCCCGAAGAAATGAAGATTTATTAAAATCATACGTATAATGGAAATTATATTTAAAATTCATATCAAAAAGTAGAAAATTTTTGGATAAATTATAATTGATGTTTTCGCCAATATTTTTTATGTATTACTACTAATGAACGATGATCAGAAGATCTTTAAGTCCTAATAATTGTATATTGACCATATTAAGATATCGATCATGTGATTGCTCGTGTTTGTCATAGATGCCAATGTAAAATTGATAATACAAAGGAATGATGAACTCTCAAAAACAATGGGCATTATTTATGATATGCAGTTATGATATGCATTCAAAAAAAGAAAGAATGGCAAAAAGCATCCCTGATAATCAATTATAACGTTATCGTTATCAGTCATAGCGCAATTAATAGTACGAGGTAAAAATGACTGAATTAAGTATAGTATGATGGAAGATAGTTGTCATAAGGGATAAATCTTAATTTTTTTATTTTATTTCTAGTATTATTATTATTTTTCGTTTTCTAATTGATCTTATATTGTACCATATTAAAAAAAGAAAAGTAAAAATACGTAATTTATCGTAATTGACATTTTAGATTAAAAAAAAAAAAAGCATACAGATATTTGAAAGAAATAAGATGGGCCTAATATATACTAGTATATATATACTATATTATTGTTAATAAAAAAATAACCATACGGGATTTATAATGCAATCATAAAAATTTGTCGCAATTGCGCGAAACGAAATTAAGTATATCATAATTTTTTTGAGAATGGTTAGGCCATATAAACATATACATATATTGGTTCCCATAAAGTCGTCCGGACAGATTTGGTTAAGTATATTTACTATATTTACTATGTTTACTATGTTTAGTATGAATGTTTTTTAAAAAAAATGATGAAATGTTTTGAATTTCTTTCTAAAATAATGTTTGAGAACCAAAATTGACATATTTTATATGGCCTTAGAAAGGAAAAACGAAAAATAATAAAATATGTTTGGAATTGCATATTTTTTTTAAAAAAAAATTTACGCGAGTTACTCGCATAAAAAATTATGATAAAAGTGATTTAACGTCAGTTGGTTTACGCGACTCATCCGAAGATGTTGATGAAGTTGAAGAAGCCCTCGATACCCTTGAATAAAAACTAAAAAAATCATCTTTTGAATCGGATTCACCCGCAGACGAAGGAGGAGTTAAAGATTCGGGTTCTTGTTCGCGTAATTTGATACGAAGTTGATGAATCTTTACGATCACGTGAAAAATCGAGATCGAGTTAGGAACGAACGAACAAACACGTGACAAATATAAAAAATAAAATTAAAGAATTATTTATAAGAAAATTACCTCTTTCTCCATTTCACCTAATTTTTCTTGAGAAGCCTTTTTATCGATGATAGCTTCTTCCAATTTTTTTTCTAATTCGAGAACGAGTTTAGCATGATCCATACTTTCCAATTCTTGAACTCTTCTTTCCAAAAATTGACATTTTTCTTGCATTTCTCGTTCTCTTTGTTTTCGTCGATCACGAAAACGAGCAGATGCACCAGCATTTCTACGTCTTTTTTCAGCAAGTAACTCAGTTGCAGGATCAACCCGGTCATTCTGATGATATACAGGATGTTGATATGGATGATGCATTGGTCTAGAGACTATACTATGAGGGTGCGTAGGAGTAGCCATTACAACTTGAGTCGCGCTTCTAATTTGTCTTGGTGAAGAATATGATTGTTGTTCATATTGTTGTAACATATTTGAATGAGACTGAAAGTGGCCACTTTCAAAAGAAGTACGTATGCATTCAGATGAAGGATATATTTTCAAACCGACTTGCTTTGTTGTTATTGTTGGTGTACGTGTAACAAATGAAGGGGACGAAAAGTCGGGAGGAGGAGAACATAATGGGGATGATACTGGAGGAGCAAGGCTTGATACGGGAGGTAAAACTGGAGTAAGATTATTCGTACCAAGGGTTACAATGGGAGGCAAAACCCTTTCGGAACCAGAAGAATGAAATGACATCGTCAAGAATGATAATCAATAATGATTGCAAATGTCAGTGAGTTTAAGTTGGTTGCTTTGAAATATAAGTTTTGTTCGTGCGAGCTGAAACTTTTTTTTTTTTTTGATTATTTTTTATTTTTTATTTTTTTCTTGCGAAAGTAAAAAATTGAAACCGTAACCGTAACTGCGCTAGAACAATTTCAAAGATTTAACGTTAATGACTACAATGGTCTAAATTTAAAAATTAATGTACATAAAATTTGGTCATATATTCTTTTGGTTTTTTTTCTTGATGACTAACAAATTTACATTTCCTCTTTATATCTGATATCGTATCGTATCGTATCGTATCGTATCGTGATAACGGAAGAAAAAAATGTAAAACCGCAAGTTATCAGATAGATAATTTTTTAAATTTTATTCAGAAATGGAAAATTCGAAGCGTATTTATCAGATGTACCAAAAAAATAAAAAAGCGACTGAAATTTTTAGGGTATATCATCAAAAGGGTTAGAAATTAAGGTCGAACATTTCTCCGATGTTTTTGAATAAAAAAAAAAGCGGGCTTTTGTACTGTAGAAATGTGTAGAAATCGCGTAAGTTAAATTGATTGTAAATGCGTAATTGTAACATAAAAAAAAAATTTTTTTTTTTGGGTGGGGCACGTTTATGTACAGCCAACAGTATGGCATATAAATTATATGTAAATTATGCAATCGTTTGTTGATTTTTTATTATAGTAAATACAGTAATTTTTTTATATATAGATTTCATAATAAAAAGGTGTAACTTACATTCTCTTAATTCCTAATTTCAAAAGAGAAAAAAAACTTTTATTTAGCATACACAAAAACGAATTTGGTCATTTTTTTCAATTGTGAATGTATGCCGTTTACAATGCCATATGTGATTAGCCGTTGATAAATACAATAAGTATAAATCAGATACATTATTACAGCATTCACGGGCACTAAAAATTGATATCAAGATCAAAAGGGGAGAGCCGGGAACTGGTGTATGTATAAAATAAGTACAACAATTGATAATAATTATAATAATTGATAATTAGTGGTTTTAAAAACTATTTTAAAAATCATTCACTTACTAATAAATTAAACAATAGGATTCTTTTTTTTCCGTAATGTTGTAAGTATTTTGGATTAAAATAAGGAGTGGCATAAACAACTCCCGCACGGATAAGATTTTTTTTTTTGATGTAGGTCTCGAGTTCGAGAATGAAAAAAAATTTTTTTTTTTTTTCTTACGTTCAAGCTTAAACCAGTATTGTAAATAATATTATATATGCTATATGACAATCAAACAATTGCATTCTAAGACGTAATTTTAGTGTACCAAAAAAGATTTCTCCTTCTTTTACTCCTTCGGTGAACATCTGCAACCACTTGTTTATTCAAGTTTTTACACTAATCCTTGTTTGTCTATTGCACAATATCTATTCGCAATGTACAAATCATCAAAGAAAACACAATCAATTAATCTGTATCCTAAAATGATTCTAATCTTGCCTATTACCACTTTTATATACAACCACGCAGAATTGCATGATTTATTCCCGGTAAGTCTTGACTAATTTCGAATCATTTTTTGTAACTCTAGTGTCATTTCATACATTAACCTGCTAATCCTGATTATGTCGTCATTACGGAAAATTTTTAGGATGGGAAAAATTTTTTTTCTTCCATAGAAATTGGTTGAATGTGACAATGATGTTGTAAATCGAGAGTGATATTAGATGATATTAGATGATATTAGATGATATTAGAAATGCTATTTAATATATCTGGTATTTCTTATTATGTACAAGAGTTTAATTGGAAATTGAGTATGAGGATCGGGCACTCGCAGCTTTAAAAGTCTTGTAATTAATAGGTAATCTATTGTGAAAATAATTGTAAAAATTCTGATTTTTTCAATTTAACACCTGCTTTTTAACTTTTTTATCGATTGTGTTATTTCATTCTTACTAAAAATAAATATAATAAATTCGAGGTTACAAATAAATTTTTAAATAATTTATTATTTTATTTTATTAATAAATAAGTCGCATTCATTCATTGTGTGTATCACAGAACATTTATTACTTATATAAATGCTATTCCTTAAAAATTTCACGCGTCCCTTTATCATTTTTTCAGCATACTTAGCCGTTATTCCAGTTTACATCAATGGCGTAACAGGTATTTGGTTACTTATAAACTTTTTTGGTAACTGTCAAGTATTATCAGCCCTAAAAAAAAAATAAAGATTAGATATTCTCTTACGCAATGACCACAATTTGGTTGGACAACTATGATAATTTAACAATTTAATTAATAAACAAAAACAAATTTGTGCCCAAAGATTCGATTCATTTATCCAAAAAAAATAATGTGGAATAAATGTTTGCGCTTTAAATATGTAAATTTCACGAAAAACATTCTTACATAACTGAGAAATAAAGAGTGCTCTGAGTTAACGTCCAACATTATTTACTTGTTTTGTAGTAGCCTCTTTATATTGTTTTGAAATTCTTCGTATCAACAGTTACGCATATTATATGCGGGCGTCTTTTTTACATATTTATCCTCTTATGAATGTCTTGTGCATAAATCCTTTTATGTATGTCGTCATATTTCGATTATACTGACATAATGTAAAAAGTATTCTCCAAATTTGATTCATGAGATGATATAATATGAGGTGATATCATGTGGGATGTTATATCATTTAACAATGCACGATCACATTGTGTGAGAGAACGCTTAAAACGGTTTTTTTTTTTTAAATTTTTTTTCTTGTTAACAATTACGTATTTATCTTGGATCATAGATTTGGCGTGTGAATCGTCTGTTCAATTTTGAAATTTTCATGTTTAAAGTTTGTCTAAGCATGGAAAAATCTAGAATTTGTATTTGTTTGGTATACTACTTGATCTCATTATAGTCCGGTATTACGTACTTACGTATATATTAGTATTGTTACTATATAATGTTACTGGTTACTGGTTACTGGTTATTAGAAATCTAAGTTTTATTATAGTTCGGTACGTACATACATATTAGTAATGTTACTGGTTAGAAGTCTAAGTTTTATTATTATTCGGTACGTATCAGTAGTTATAGAAAATCTAAATTTTAAATCGTATACGTACGTACGTGTAGTTTTTATTATATATATACTAGTTTAGGATAAATTTACCAGTACGTACGTATATATATTTCTTAGTATATTTCTTAGTATATACGCTCATACAGTATATATATACAGTATATATTTAGTATATATATGTATACGTAGTGTTTAATTTATTAAAATAAAATATTTACTGTATTACAGTACAATATACAATGTATATATATATTTTTTAAAAAAATTTTTAAATTTTAATTTTTAATTGTCTGTGATCTTTATTAATTTTTGTCTAAAACAAGTTAATAAAAATAAATATATGTATATAGTAATTTTGTAAAATAAATAAAAATATTGTATCCATACAGTACTTTTAAACAATTTAAGCAAAACTTATTATTTAAAATTTTATTTGTTAAATATAGTATTAACTATTTTTAACCAGGAGTGATGTAGCCACTCCTATTAAAATTTAGGGTTAGGGTGCAATTTTAGGGGGTTTTTTTTTTATATAATATAATGTACAGTATATTAGATATTAGATCCTAATTCTGTTTTTAGCTTTGTAAGGTTTTTGAGAGTCCTGACCATTTTTACTTAAAATACCCGATCCGTTTACTTAGTACGTTATTGACGTAACTAGGGAGCATAGAAAATTTCAAAGTTTTATTTTAGTAATATATAATTATCTGTATATAGTATCCTAAAAACGTACTAATTAGAATTAGAAGTTTTAATTAAAAATAGTTAGAACCCAAAAAATCTTGTATAATTAATATTTAAACTATTATACAATATGTAAATTAGGTTTAAATTTTAAATTTTAGCAAAAATTAATTTATTACAAATAATTATTTTTTTTAAATATTATTTTACATAGTTTTATTAAATTAAAAGCTAGTTATTAATTTTGTTTTAAAACTTTAATACAGTAAAAATATATAATTATTTAAAAGTTTAATAATTTAGTATATATATTTTATAATATATAGTATTGTATGTATAATACTGTATTAACTTAACACTTATTATAAATAATAAAATCAGATATAATATAAAATTAAAACTTTTTATTAGTTGAAGTTAAAACACAATAAATATAGTATATAAACTAAAAAAACTTTTATAATAAATTTTATAAAAAAAAATTTAAATACAAAAATAGGTTTATATTTAAATGCAAAAATAGGTTTACAAGTTTAATAAAATACACCTATGGTGTTCAACACCATAGATTTCTCTATTTCTCAAAAATGCATTAAGTAAACCAGATTGGGTATTTTAAGTAAAAATGTTTAGAACCCCCAAAAACCTTACAAGAACTAAAATTGAAACCTTATATCTAATATGTATTATAATATATATATATATATAAAATTTATAAAAATACATCCTGACCTTAAATTTTATTAAAAACAATTATACTATATATGATGCTAAACACTATAAATATATTTTAAAATAATTAATAGTTTTATATATAAAATTTTAAGTTATAAAAAATTTTAACAAAAATAAATATATATTTGTTTTAAAATTTTTTAACTATACTTTAATTTTAACTAAATACAATAAATAATTTTAATAATAAATTAGACCATACAAATTTGATTACTTGGTTTTCATAACATGAAATTTTTAAATAGACCCGGCCGGCCGGCTTTTTTTTTTAAA